GGACTCCATCTTTAATTGCATTGATAATTTTTTCCTTTGACACGTTGAATAAAGTGTTGAGTTCGTCCGACCAATAAAATTTTGATTTAGGGCTAAGCAGAACTCTGAATGGGGCCATAGTTTCTCGAAGTTGAGCGTAATGTGATACTTGGGTCACTAAGCCGAACCAAGATCGGATGTCTGTTATTGAGGATGGTGTTGGAAATGATCTAATGGCATCGATATATTTAGGTAGTGGTTCAACTCCATTTTCAGATATTCTGAAACCTGCAAAATCCACTATTCTTTTAGCAAATTGGAATTTTTTGGGTTCAAAATGATCCCAGCTTTGCCAACAAGCTCAAAAAATTCGATTGTCCGCCACCAATGTTTGACTAGGTCGTCATCATAGTGGATGGTGTCATCTACACATCTTTGTTTGCCAATAAAGTCTGCTAAAATTTCGTCGAAACGTCTGTTGTAGCCATCCCCACTAGATACAAAACCTTGAGGAGCTCGGATGTATCTGTAGCGCCCAAAAGGAGTAATGAAGGTGGTAAGATTCCTGTCTTCAACCCGTATCGGGATGCTATGATAACCATTCCATGCGTCGGTTACAGTTTTCCATGAATTTCTTGGGACTGAACGAGCTAGTTGGAAAGGCGATTTCATTGCATGAGTTTCTCTGTAGCAGTACTTGTTTAAAGGAGATAGATCAACAGTGCGACGAGGCCCACCGTCATGCTTACGTGTGATAACCATTCTATGACACCATGTTGTAGGTTCTCCTAGAGGTACCTTTTCAATGACTCCAAGAGTTTCATCACGAATTAAATCCTTTTCCACTTGGTCTTGCAAATGGATTGGTATGGTGGCTGGAGTAAATGCTGCAACTGGTTTGGCATTTTCTTGAATTAAAATACTTATTGGAGGTCCCTCCATATCAGGTAAAATCTGGTGTGGACATGTGTTGAATAATGAAGCAGAGTATCTTTCAAGGAGCCACGCTTTCATCCGTTCGTTGTTTTCAGGACAGCAGACAAATGGAAGTTTGGTGGGTGCACCTGCTGGGAGACTTCTTTTGGGGCAATTGCACACATGTGAGCTATTATTTTCACTGGATGTTTTGGTCCCTATAGTTATAGGGCCTGAGTTAGTAGCTCCGTGGAGGGCACTGCCTATCTCTGGAAAGTCCTTAGAGATGATACCCAGTTGGGTCATTGCTTCTTTAGATAGGTAGAATCCGTTTGCGTCTGGACTTATATAAACCATTACTGCACATTCAACTTTGTGTCCATTAGATTGTCGTCCTTCGAGACGTAAAAGAATTGCACCATCTATACGAAATTGGGTTTTATTTGCGGCCGACATGCTATGTTTCACAGGTATTAAATTGTTTGCATTAAAGCCTGCACTGACAAACCCTTTCCTAGACCATAAGCAGGACTGTGCACCGGTATCTGTAATAACTTGTATATATTTTGGTATAATGGGAGGAAATGGAATACCAAATGCGACATAGTCTGATTTGTTAGTAGTCACACGCAGCTGAATTGTAGGATGAACAAGCAATTGAGCTGTGGCCCATCCATCATGGGTAAATATGTGATGGTTTATTCCTGTGCATGGTCGTTTCACATTGGTCTTCATTTGTGATCTAATTTTTTTTATTTGAATGCTCAATTGCACTTAACTTTAACACAAGTCCGCCTGCCTCAGCATCTTTGGTTGCATTCGATTTCTTATCATTTGGGATGATTCTGTTGTTAATTTTAGAAGTGCGAGATCTGAGCCTCTTCCAACAGTCTAGACACAGCTTGTGGGGTTTTTTGTTCCATCCTCTGGATGTTTCTGTAAATAAACTGTAAGATTCTGAGCAATCTGGACATTTGGCTGTTATATTGGTCCCTTTACTACTCTGTGTATTGCTCTTGTTTTGTTTCCTGAAAGTTGATACACTTGCTGTTGTTGAACTACAGCCTAGTGCATTTCGTGCCATTTCTTTACCCTCTATAAAAGCAATGATATCTGTGACGGAGGCTGTGTCAAGGGAGACCCATCCAAGTACGTCTTTGCGGATGTCAGTATCTGATAGCCCAGCAACAACAATGTCTCGTATGATAACATCGGTAAAATCAACAGTTGTTTGTGGGTGGCAGTGGCATTGAACAGTGTAGTTGCAAGTAGCAGCCTTGCCTTTCAGTTTTGCATAGAATGACCGAATACTTTCGTTGTGTCCCTGTCTCATTTGAAGGAGTTCTGCTCTTCTGACGCAAGTGGCTACTGGGATAACGGCCAGTTTTTTCATTGCTTTTAGAAATGCCTCATCGTTTTCATTAATTATCATGGGATTTTCTTTTAGGAGTTGATTTCCAAGGTCGTCCTCACAGCACTGAAACAGCTGTGCTGTCATCTCTTCTTGTCTGATGTCTGTACATCTCTTAAACAATGTCCAGCGACTAATAAAGTTTGCCCACTCTTCTTCTGAGATATCCTGACCGATGTGGGGGCGATCCATTTTAGGTGCCTTGTGTTTTGAGAAGGCTGAATGAGTGTCAATCGAGTTTGGAGGATGGTGAAGCTGGTGACTGTTGAATAATGCAATTGCAATTGCTTCGCTGGGACCTTCAATGACGACATTGCATCCTGGGGCCTGGCAAGGTAAGCTTATTGTGGACATAATGTAGGAAAGAAAAAGGTTAGCAAAATCCTACCTTTTGTGTGTACATTAACAACTTCAAACGAATATGTAAGTGAATTACAATTTCAACCACTGATAAGAAGTTTTTATCTTTGAAATACCAGTGTTTCTTTAAAATTTCATAGAATGCATAAGAAACTAACATAAACAAAAGTTAGTCATTGTTCTCAATTATAATTATATCTTAAACAATGTTAGTTTCTAAATGAAATAACAATAAGTTTAAACAACAACAATATAGAACAATATAAAAACAATATAAAAACAAGAAATGAATAATGTCACTATTTCTACACAGGGTTGCTAATATTTTGAAAAAAATTCTTTAAAAATAGGTCAGCTTGGTACTCAAATGAAACAAATTATATAAAAATTTGGACAAAAATAATGGTTTTTTAGAAAAATTATTGTTTTTGAAAAATTTTTCTATATGTTTTTATTATTTCAATATGTTTTTTTATAAAGAAAATATTATTTTCAAGGTTTTAATATAATTTGAGTACCAGGTTGACCTACTTTTAAAGAACTTTTTTTTTCAAAATATTGGTAAATTTTTAAATGTTTAAAGATCTTAGCAGTAACTCTGAAATGGTTGATTTATACAAAAAGATTTAAATGAAATAATTTCTTACCATAGAATTATTGCTTGCAGATTTGCTGAATGTAAACGTGGCTTTTGTAGCATGAATTTAATAGTAACTAATTTATGGTCACAAATTCTAGTTAAATATGTTTCGAGTTCATTTAATTAAATGATCCACCATTTAATTACAGCAATGTAAATGTTAAATGTGTTCTATGGTAAGAAATTATTTCATTTAAATCTTTTTGTATAAATCAATCAAGATAGCAGCACCAACATCTACAATTGTAAATCCTTTATGGCAATTTCTATAATGTTTAATGTATTCTATCTAAGAAGATAACACAGGGAACAAAAAATATCTTTTTTGAATTGCACCGAAGATCTTTAAACAGTTACAGGGTCACTAATATTTTGAAAAAAAAATATTTCAAAAATAGATTAACTAGGTACTAAAATGATAAAAAATTTATAAAAGTTTGGACAATAACAATGGTTTTACAGAAAAATTTTCGTTTTTGATTTTATTGGATTACAAATATTTTTTTTAATTTAAGTGACAAAAATTAAAAATTTTTACAAATTTTTCAATATTTTTTTATTATTTCAATATGTTTTTTTATAAAGCAAATATTATTTTCAAGGTTTTTATATAATTTGAGTGCCAGGTTTTTTTATAATTTGAGTACCAGGTTGACCTACTTTTAAAGAACTTTTTTTCAAAATATTGAGGACCTTGTAAATGTTTAAATGTCTGAGGGGCAACTCTAAAATTATTTTTTGTTCAAAAATATTTTTAATTGTTATTATATAAAATACATTTTGAGGTGTTAAAATGCAATATTTAAAAAATTGTTGTTTGTCAATGCACCCTAATGAGTATATTCAATAGTTTGTCTGCCTAAAGACATAAAATTGAACTCACTATGCATAGTAATGTAAAATTAAAAAAAAAAGAAAATTAGATTAAATTAAAGATGTTTATAACCAATCGATAGATTTTTTTTTTTTTTTTTTTTTAATTATCCACCTCCCCAAGGCCCGAGGGGGTCACTACAGTCGAGGAGGCTACTCATTTTTTTTTTTATTTATTTTTGTTGTAAATCATGGTACAACCCTCTCTCAACTCTTTAACTCCGAAACACGAACCTTGACAAGCAAGGCCGCTGCGCAGAGAAATTAAGTTAAGTTAAGTGCGGTACTTCCAGGGACATCGTGGAGTCGAACTCTGAACCTCTCGCTTACAAAGCAAGCCCTCTTACCACTACACCACTTCCGCATTAATAAGAGAAAAAAAAAATTTTTAATGATATTATAAGTTAATGAAGGGGACTTAAGTTATTTAAAATCTGACTTTAATTCAAGATTTATTTAGGGCTTAGCTCTAATACCGATTACAAAATCTCTTTTAAAAAGTCAATTATAATCAGTAGTGTAAATAAGTCAATCATAAAATTAGTATTAAAAAAACTTTATTATTAAAACAGGTGTTGAGTCTAGGTTTTATGAGGTTTGAAGTTAAAAAGTTAAGTATAATTATATAAACGTGATATATACAAATATTTAATGTTATATAAATATTTACTAATATAGAAAACATAAAATTATTTTTTAAAATGATAATTTTATAAATAATACTTTAAAAGAAAGATTTATAGCTTTTTGAATATATTTTCTTATATTTTTTTCTTATATCTATTATTATATATTATTTATTTTCCTTTTGTTGTTTTTTAGTAAATGATACTAAGCGTTCTTCAAATTTGATTTCTTCAATGACATCAAATGCATTCTTTTTTCAAACATCTCATCATTTACCAAATCCTTACTTGAAGAATATCTTACTTGAAAAAGAAGAAACACCCCCTCCTTTGCCACCTAAAGTACCACCGCCATTACCACCAAAACGAAGACATAGTAAAAGAGTAGAATCTACTGACAAACATGGCAAGGTTTCTTCAATGAAAGGTAATTAAATTTGTTTATTAAAGCTTATTTGTATAAAGCTTATATATATATTAAAAAAATTGTAAATGTTTTTTGACATCCAACGTTACCTCAAAATGATTTTTTCTAACCAATTTTTTGTAAAATCAGTTATTTAAGAAGCTCCGATGATTTTCTAAAAGTAGTCTTTGACTTAAAATGAATTTTGGTTTTGGGCATAAATTTATCTTTTTTTTGGATAAAAATGGATGAAACAAAATGAAAATCATACTTCTATCTGACTTTGAAAATCATAGTCAGATATCTCGTTATTAATGAGTATCAACTGGAAACTTTCAGAGTATCCATGCACATACTTTCAGAAGATCCATGCACATTTCAGAGGATCCATACAGAGTAAAATAAAAGTTTAATAAAAATTCAAGTTTAAAAAAGAAAATAAAAAAATTTATTACCATAAATAAAAGTTGTTTTAAGAATAAAATTCAATTATAAATTTAATAAAATTATATATATATATATATATATATATATATAATATATATATATATATATATATATATATATCTGCATAGAAGTTAAATGAGTCTTTATGGCAACAAAAAAAAAGTCTCTTTCTATCTTTTTTTTTAACATTTAAGTGATCATCAACAATTCATCATTTAAATGTGGCTTCATCGTTAAAACACTTAAATAAATATGGAAATACATTTAAATTTATTGTTTTTTTAAAAACCGCAATTATGATTTATGATAATAATTTTTTTGAATTAATGATGTTTTTGTGTTTTTATCATTTTATACTGTTTTTAAATATTGACTTTTTATTTATTTTATTTTTGTTTTATTGACAGGAGTGCAAGTACATTGATTAACTTAAATAGGGAGAACATGCAAGCAGTATGTTGACTGACTAAATAAGTAAAACATGCAGGGAGTGCCACTACATCAACTGATAAATAGGTAGAACATGCAAGGAGTGCTGCTATATCGACTGACAAATAGGTAAACATGCGAGGAGTGCTGCTACATAGACTGACAATTTGGTAGAATATGCAAGAAGTGCTGCAACATCAACTAAGGGTTTCGTTTTCGGCAAGTCAATTTGCAGATTTAAGATTTTCAACTTTTTCTGGTCTGCTTTATTAGTGTTCGATTTAAAACAACAGTTTTTGGAAGAAGTGATTATTTAATTAACACCATAAATTAGTTTTTTGTGTCATTATTTTTATTCTTTATTGCATATTGTGTGTAATTGGTTTGAATATGATAAATAGTATGTCTTTAAACTCAATATCAAGGTTGGCAAAAAGATCAGACCCCTCAAGCAAAAAATTTTTGTATGGTTTGGGTAATATTTTGTATGGTATGGTTAATAATTTGCTTTTACACCAAATATCAAGTTTTAGTGTTTATCTTTCTTAAGGTGAAAAAAAGTATTTTCTATTGACCAACTTTGTACCTCTTCTTCATCTAAAAGCTCATACATGTTATAAGCTCATACTTATGTTGTCTTGTTTCCTGCCCAGGATGATGAATCCTTGATAGTCTTGATTCAATACTGTAGTTGTTAATTAAACTTCCATGATTTTATTAATACTTGATAGGAATAAATGTATTTTAAAAAATATTATTAAAAAGTACACTGTAGTTAAAACCATAAAATACCTTATTATTTTGAAAAAAAATATTTACTGTTTTTATTTTCCACAGTTTTTATTTTCCAGATTCGTTTCTTCGAGTAAATACATATTCGCCGCCTATTACACTGAAGAAATCTTCAAAGACAATAGATTGTCAAAAAAAATTTAGTAAAACCGAATGCATAGAAAACAACACTTTAGAAAAAGAAACCTATAATACAAAAAAATGTTTCAAGGAAACTCTTACAAAATTAAGAAGTCAATCTTTAAATGATTTGCCATCACAATCAAAAGTATTGAGCCCAATAAGACATAGATCTATGGAGAGTTTTGAGTTTTTATCAGGCCCTACATTATTACAGTCAATAAAGTATACTCTACGTATCTCTAATGAAGTTTCTAAACTAAACAAACCATCTCGACCTCCCCCACCTAAAACAAATAGATTCTCGTGCCCTCAACCTAATCGTGTTACTCAGAATGGTGTTGACATGTTTTTAGATAATATCATGTTTAAAAAAGCAGAAGAAAGAAACGAGGAAGCCAAAGATTTTTTTAAGACAATGAATGAGTTGCGTTCATTGTTTCGATACACAGATAAAACAACTAATCCGGGGTATATTAAAGCTCCTCAGTGCCTAAATCACGCATTAAATGACACTATATTTACAATAATGGTGCATTTTTACACAAAATCTCAAGTTTTAACGTGTTTCTCGTCAATAAAAGCTAAGGAATTTATTTTGAAAGCTTTAAAGTTCTTTAATACCAGTTTTAATGAATTGGATATTTTATCTGGTCAATATGTTTTGCAATTTGCTGGCTATTCAATGTTTGCTGATGATAATGTCCCATTATGTGACTATGTTTGTGTCCAAGAGACTAATAAACTTGATAAACAGTTAGAGGTGTACCTAATCTTACAAGAGCATATAAATACTGATCTGGTACGTAATGAAATTGATGATAAAGACGATATCAAAGGAATTCACTTTGATCAGTTTTTTAACAATAGTTCTTCAATTTGTGTAACGGAAGAAGGTTTGTCTGTTCTTCTTGATATGTATAACTCAGAGGCCTCTCGATTAGTTCATGGTGTCTCACAAACTTATAAAATGCAGTATTTTCCAGAGCGTCTAATTCAAGTAGTAAAAGCAATGTCTACTGCTTTGGGTTGTATCGAATTACTGGAAATCCAAAATGGCGTTGCTTTATTGCTATCACTTAAAAAAGAAATGCGTCTTACTACTTTACAGAACGCTGAGTTTCAAAATCCAATGCATTTTAACTTAATCCGTTTTAAAAAAGCATTACAACGATTGACATCAGGGGTATATTCACTAATTGAACTTTATTGCAAATCCTTTAATACTTCATTTACTCCACATTGTTATCCATTTTATCGATCATTGCCGAATTGCTCCGAGCGTATAGATCCACGAACACTTACAGATAACTTTTCGATAAGAATTATGTCTGTACATCGAATACCATCAAATTGGAAATCTGAATTTACAGAATTTGAGCTAGAAGTATCTTTATATTACGGAGGTAAACTGTTATGCCCGAAGCGAAAATGCTCACCATGCAACATAGTCTATGGCTTTTTTGACCATCTTAAGGTATGTGAAGTGATTGAATTGGAAATAGCTGTAAAACAAATTCCACGTGAAGCAAAGGTTGCAATATCACTATTTGGTTGCAATCAGCCCAAAAGAAGTTCAGATGGTAAAACCATGCTAGGTTGGGTATCAGCTAATGTGTATGACTACCAAGGGTTTTTGTTATCGGGAAGCAAATTGCTTGGTCTCTTATCAAATGTAGAATTTAATCCCGTAGCTATCTGTGCAACAAACAACATTGAACACAGAGAGACAGTAATAGTAAAGATAGATTTTCAAGCATATCACACAGAAGTTATTTTTCCTCAGCCTATAATATTTGATGAATGTTTGATACATGAGACCAATGATCTTTCCCAAAAAGAATTGGAATTTATTCAGAAGACCATAAGCAAAGATGTCGCTAAGCTTACCAAACAAGAACGACTCGTAATATGGCGTCATCGGTATAGTTTGCTTCACTCTCCAAGCGCTTTAGTATATATTCTTTCATCTGCTCCGAGCTGGGACTCAGAATCTGTTAATGATATTCACATGGTTTTAGCTCTTTGGGGCAGGGTGCCTCCTGAAGAAGCATTAATTTTTCTACAAGCCGATTTCCCTGATAAAATAGTCCGTGAAACTGCAGTTTTATGGCTAAATGAGTTAACAGATGATGATCTTTATGACTTTTTGCCCGAATTAGTTCAAGCGCTTAAATACGAAGCTTATCATAAGTCTGCATTAGCTAATTTTCTTATAAAACGAAGCTTATCCAGCCCGCGTCTCACTCACTTTTTGTTTTGGCATTTAAAATACTATATCGGAGATATTCAGTTTGGTCAGCGTTTCAAAATAGTTTTAAGTGGCCTATTAGGTACATGTGGAGAAGCTATGAGAACTTCCTTGAGTAAACAAGACAAGCTTGTATGTATGTTAACGGACATAGCTAAAAAAATAAAAGATAGCAAGTTTGCATCAAGAAAATCTCTTTTACAAATCGAACTCGAAAAAGTAAACCTTGAAATAGGCACTTCTTTTCGTCTACCTATTGAGCCAACTATCCAAGTTTCACATATTGTTTCAGAAGAGTCTTCTTATTTTAACAGTAATACGTTGCCTTTAAAGGTAGTGTTTAAAAACGAAGATCCGAAAGGAAATAAGGTACCATTGATTTTTAAAATTGGCGATGATCTGCGAAAAGATCTTGTTACCGTACTAATGTTCCGAGTCATGAACAAATTTTGGATAAATGAGGGCTTCGATCTTAAAATGTTGTTATACAATGTCCTACCAACTGGACCTTCGATAGGATTTATTGAAATGGTATCCAACGCTTCGACATTTAGGGAAATACACACCGAACATGGGTTGACAGGTTCTTTCAAAGAAGATTCTCTTGCACTATGGCTGCAAAGGTACAATACTTCTGAAGCAGAGTATGCTCAAGCCGTAAAAACGTTTACTGCATCGGCTGCTGCTTATTGCGTAGCAACCTATCTTCTAGGAATCGGTGATCGTCATAATGACAATATAATGTTGACAAGAAAAGGTCATCTATTTCATATTGATTTTAGTAAGTTTATGGGCGCAGTCCAAATGTTTGGCGGCATAAAAAGAGATCGCGTTCCTTTCGTTCTTACCCCGGATATGGCTTACGTGATTAATAATGGGTTGGCTCCGACGCCGAATTTTCAAAAGTTTATAGAATATTGTTGTAATGCATTTAATTCGATCAGACGGAAAAAAACTTTGGTTCTTAATTTGTTAGGTTTAATGGTATATTCAGACATTTCTTATCTTTCAACTAAAGAGGATTTATTTTACATTGAAGATGCTTTACAACCTCATTTGAATGATGACCAAGCTACGACATATTTTACCAGACTAATTGAGGGTAGTTTGTCATCTAGGTCAACTCAATTGAATTTCTTTATTCACAACGTTGCACAGATTAAAACCGCTGGCGAGACTGTTTTACGAACTTCGCGATCAAATCCTCTGTTCTCGTTTTCCAATAAAATTCACACTATTGATGAAGATGGTGTGTTCGCGTCAGCTCGCGTTGTTGATTTTCAAAAACGGTATTTTCCTGAAAAACATTACGTATTCGTAATTAATACAATACGCGAAAATGAGAAGTTGCCTTCTTTCATATTTCGGCGTTATGAAGATTTCCAAGAGCTTCATTCAAAGTTAACATACACATTTAACGTATCAATAGCCCTACCTGATTTACCTCCTAAAATACTACTCGGTCGCAGTCAGGTACGCGAGGTTGCCGCCCGGCGCCGCCTAGACTTGGATAAATATTTAGTTAATTTATTTTATTTGGAAGAAGTGTGGCGCTCAAATATTGTTCACACATTTTTGTACAGTTACATAAAAGATAAAGAAGAACAAAGAAGATTTACAGATTATGTTTATTTGCTCGAACAAGGCAACCATTTGTCTAGAATCGGAGGTAAAATTAAATTATCCCTGGTGTATAAAAATGATGCCTTCCATATTCTAGTCAGCCACGTTAAAGAATTAATTCCTAGACGAATAGAAGAAGTAATTGATTGCTATGTGAAATGTTATCTTTTGCCTGACCCAATGAAATGCACCAAACGAAAAACTAAAATATGTCGACGATCTCTTAATCCGACATTTAATGATATTCTTGTTTATGATTTTCTTCCATTAGAATTGCTGAAAAAACGACTTTTGCAGGTTTCCGTGTGGGAGCATGATCCTCTAAATAAAAATGAATTTCTAGGTGGTGTTGATATTTACTTGAATAACTTTAATTTAATGAATCCTGTTTCTGACTGGTTTACATTAACAAATATTAGTTTAGAAGATTGGTCGAATAGTATTTAATCGTAATTTATCTCTTTAAAAAAGTTTGCCTGATTCTCAAGTTGTCTCTCAGTAAGATATCAAGTTGTTTCTCCAAGTAAGGAGAACAGGTTATAATCGGAAATTATTTAATTTTTTATTATCTGATTTGTACATGATGTATTTGTTTTTGTAGGTTTTTATTATTTATCTAATTTACTTTAAGTATTTATTCAAAAATTTTAAAATTATATTGAATTTTTATAAATAACAAATGATTGTTTTTTTAGTTATGTTTTTTTTTTGTGTAAATTTTTTTTTTTTAATTGTTTACATAAAGAAATGTATATATATATATAATTTTGAGAATTTATATTTCTATTTTGTTAATGGTGAGCGCGTGGTTTGCCATCAAAATATATTTAGAAATTGAATAAAAAAAATATATGCGAAATAAGTAAAATATTTATAATACGTAAATACGTATTATATATAGTGTATTTTGTATGTATAATTTTTATTAAAAAAAAAAGTTATCAGAAATAGCATAATGTAAAAGCAGAGTAGGACAGCAAGTAGGACTACATCTATCAGAACATGTAAACAGATGTCTTTGCTTGATGACATTTTTTTCAAAAATACAATTTGAAAAAACCATACTTATTAGTTTAAAACATCCCAAAAAATTTAGTATTAAACTAGTTTTAAAATTTTATAAATATGGTTTGATATAGGTTTTTATTCTGAATCTAATGGTAATATTTTTAATTTTTGTTGTAAAATAAAGGAAGATATTTTATAAAATATAAAAAAAATCTACTTATTTTACTTGAGTCGGTCAATAATTAATAAATAATCGATTATTTGTGGCAAGATGTAACCAATGAGTCTTTAATTCCTTAATTACTTCTGTTGCTTAATAATAAAATAATGATCTACGATACTACTTCCTAATTAAATTCCTATCTATTTCTATTAAAAGAACGTCATTTCTCATTTTTGATATGCTAAAACCAAATTTACCTCTGCAAATTGATACAAATATAAAAAACCATCACTATCAATAAAATGCCAAACAACTACTGCGAAGATGGTGAAAATGCTTAGAAACATCATTGAAAGCAAGAAATATCATAAAAAAGGTGTGCATTTAAGTTCAATATACCAGGTCGCAGGTCAACATAGAAGCAGGAGTTCAACAGCCCAGTGGGCACGGACGTCAAAAAGACGCCTTTAAAAACGTTTTATACACGTTTTGGACGTCTTTTGAACGTTCAAAAGACGTCTTTTTTAGGTCCGGTGCCCACTGGGAGCTTTATCAGTTGAAACTTAAAAGTTATTGACTCATTTAATTCAATTTTATAGCGATTTGGGTTCTGCTTTCTATTGTTCAACACTATTTAAAAAATAGAGTTGTTAGTCCTTGGCCTTGCCTTAAGGCCAACTATTGAGGTCTTGACCTTGGTTTTGGCTTTGAAACTGTTGGTCTTGGCCTTGAAAATTTTGGCCTTGGCCTTGATTGTTTTGGCCTCGGCCTTAAAATAATATACATATTTTCTTATCGCTTTCGTTGAATTCTGCCCATAACCTTGGTCTATTTTTACAAAATATTGTTTTATTGTCACACCACTTGCTACTTACAGTTGTGTTAATAATTGGCCTTAACGTAAGGCAAAAGTTGAAGTCTTTAGTCTTAAAAATTTTTGCGTAGGCTTTAACCTTGAAACTCTTAATCTTGGCCTTCACCTTAAACTCTTAGCCTTGGACTTGGTCTTGATACTTTTGGCCTTCTTAACAACTCTGTTAAAATATACAAAACAAAAGCATTTATTTAAAAACGGCATACCTTCATTACAGTGATGGTATAAGTATGATTTTAAAGAGAGATGGAAACATGATGTAGAGTTAATGCGGAGCAGATAAAATTGCATCAAAGAAAGCGTCAACTAGTACTTCCAATATAATTGAAAAATGTTTTAACAGTTACAAGAACTAATACCTTGAAGCTAAAATTGATAGCTTCACTTGTTTGGAACTGTGACGAGTGTGGTGACCAAGAAAAAGTTTCAATTTTATACCGAAAAGGTACTGAGCGCGCTCGCACAGTTACAGTAAATAATAAATAAAAGCAATTATATTACAAACAACTGCACCAATGGGTCCGGATTCTACTTACATTTTATGGTTTATAAGCGACTTTCGTTTATAAATCAAAAGATATTTCGGGTTGGTAGGAAAATTGCAATAAAATGAGTGTTTGAAGCGGTATTCATACCAGCAGTTAAAGCGAATTGTCGAGAACACATTTTTGTATTAGATGGTAACAACACTCGTGTGTCATTTGGAAGTATGTTAAGAAAACAACGTCCGATTGGTTTGCATATCAGCTTGTTCTGGATGTTGGATTATATTTTTGCGTTAAACTTACCAGGAAAAACTTATTAAAATCATATTAGGAATCCTAAGTTTATTAAAAGTTTTATATAAAAGTGGCAAGTGCTTAACCAGAACACACGTAGTGTATTCGAAAAACAGTGTTATTTCTTTTTAAAAAATCTAATATAAGTCTATTAAAATTAAAAATAATTTAAACATTCGAAGATTCAGCACAAGAGCTAGCATCACAATCAACATTGACAATATCATTGACTGCACAGCATTCATAAATTTTCTGTCCAATTTCAAATATTTCAATAAATCAATATATTTTCTGAAATATTTGGTATTACATTTCAAGGTTGCTTACAAATAGTATTTTTATTTTTTTTTTTTTATTATTTTTTTTTATTTCGTCAGTAAAAAAAAAAGAATACAATGCCGTGTAAAACAAATAAGATCTACATGACCGGGGTTAAAAGAAGACAATACTTGCCTTATCACTACACCCCGAACTACTAAACTATAAACTACTAATATTAATTAAACACCTAATAACAATGATTAAAATAGTTATAGTAATAATAATAATAAAAGTATTTATAATAAAATAATGATAAATAATAATAACAATAATAATAAATAATAATAATAATAATAATAATAACATGTTACTTTAAAAATAGTAATATTAATAATATGGTAATTAATATAAATAATATAGCAATTTAAATAAATAGGTATAACTTTCTATACAACAATCGCTTATACATACAAAGTTACAGTTACAAACAGTAATTAACTGACAAAACGTAACAACTAACGATGACATAAAAACAACTATTGCTAAAAAAAACTATAACGATTTAGTAAGTATATTAATCATAGCTCTTATAATATCATAACCAGTGGCGGATTAAGACTTCTTGGGGCCCGGGGCTATTTTTGTTTTTGGAGGCCTTTTTATTGGCCATAGCCTAAAAATGACTTAAAAAAAAAAAAATAAAGGTTCTCTCAAATTTTTGGGGACTCCTAAATTTGACTCACCCCCCCCCCCATGACCCGCACTGATCATAACTAAAATATATTGCAAATAATAAATAAATAAAAATGTAAACAGAAACTAATTAAATAAAATGTAAACAGAAAAACACTTAAAAAATCAAAACAAAACAAAAGATACAACAAACATTAAGAACAAAACAAAAAATTACGTTAAATATTTTTGACAACAAAAAAAAACAATAAAAAAACAACAACATAAAATAAAAACTAAAAACAACAACAAATAAAGAAGAAAAAAATATAATATTACATGGTAGAATAAAACATATATGATAAATAGCTAAAATGAAAATAAAAACAAATTATATATCACTATTTAAAAATAATTAATAATCAAAAAATAAAACAATAAATGACTAACAAAATATATAAAGTAAAACTTAATACGCTAAAAACTAAAGAAAAAACATTACGACAAGACCGCATAACAGCAAAACTAAAAAATAATTTCACTTCAATATTATAACAAAACACATTTTTCAATTAAAAATGATTTAGAATCTGCAATGAAATTATTTCTGCAGCAAATCTAAACACTTCCACAGTTTAAAAAGAAACAATTTAAGACTTAAAGAAGAAGCTTTAACAAAAGCAAAAACAACGGAGAAAATTCGAGCAATGGATGAAAAATGTAAATCATGCAATCCTACTTAAAAAGATTTTAAAAATATGGAATTAAAATGTTCAAAAGTTTCTTGCTAAACAGACAAAAATGCGTAATTGCTCAAGAAAATAAATACTCAAAGTTGCTTAAAATAAAATAAGTTGTTACTCAAGGTCGTATTCTTGCGCCCCTCGTTTCTAATATTCATTAATGACCTCTCAAAAGCTTCAAATAAATTGGATGTCAAAATGTTTGCAGATCATACTAATTTATTTTAAATGTCCAAATCTATTACAGAACTTTTTGAAAATAACATACACTGAATATGGAAAATTAAACAATTGGTTCAAATCCAATAAATTATCATTAAACACAGAAAAATTAAATGTATCCTTTTTAATTCCAACCAAAAAAATATAACACTCACATTACCTTCACCAAAAATAGAAAATAATGAAATCAAGAGCATCCAAGCAACAAAGTTTCTTGGTATACTTATTGGTGAGAACATTTCATGGAATGTGCACATAAATATGTTAAATAACAAGACCCAGATAGCACAAATTCTTTGGGCCATTATTGGGCAATTATCGGCTACTATATTGGGCCAATATTGGCCGCAAACATTGTACAAATATTAGGGAGCGCAAACTGTGCCTTTATTGGGCAAATATTGGCAGATTACTGGTTAAATCATGGCTCCAATATTGGACCATAGTGGTTTCAAATAGCTAATCACGGCCCAATATTGGTTCAGCAAATGTTCAACACAGGCCAAACATTTGCATAATATTGGCGAAAAAATTTAAAATTATTGAATAATCATACTCTGCGTGCCATGACATCTTATTTAAAAATCTATTTGAAGATCGTGCATAACTTCAAGATTATTGTAATATTTAAAATTGTTATTGTAATATTCAAAATCAAATTGGCTTTACATCGTTCATTATTACATTATAATTATTACATTATAATGATTTATGAATCATTAAAATAATATGAATGCATATTATTAATATGATTGAAAAGTTATTCATTACGATATTTTAATTAAATAATTTTTTATTTAATTTAATAACTAATATTAATAGTAATGAATAAATAAATATGTATTTGTTAATTACAATTATCATAAAATACATAATTCATATATTATTATTAATTAAAATTATCACTTAAATA